AGCCGAGATACGTGCCCTTAGCAGGAACCAAACTCGGGTCCCTCTGGATCGCAGCCTGACGCTCTAACCGCTGAGCCAAACTGGCCAGGGCTAAGTGTACCCATTTTTGAACTGGCAAACCAGAAGCCTGTTTCAGAACAGCAGGCTTGTGTTTTATTGACTTTCCTGGGACATCCAGGTCTCCTTTTTCTCTGCTGAAAAGGTTAAGAAAAAGGCAGAACCTTAGAGGACAGTTAAATAAACAACATTTAGGGCCACAATTCCAAGGGGCACATTCACAGGGGTTATAATGGAAATGCCCCCCTCACGTAATGGGTGCCCTGGGCTGAAATAGTTATGTAACTGAAGAAAAGTCTTACTGCCTCAAAAGACTCAATGATCTCAAGAGAAAAGAATTATCTACTTCTCAAAGAGCTTTTCCATGTGTTCTCATTTGATCCTGATGTAAACACGTTCTCTTTATATATGGAAAAACAGGTTCCATGGACGAAGTTAAATTATCTTGGAAATGAACTTATGAGCTAACCTGAATTTCAGTTGCAAGTTTGTCCAGTCCTCCCATTTTGCATATTATGAGGTTGAAGCCCAGAGGGAAAATAATTTAATGGAGTGCACACAGGGTCAGGCGGCAGAGCTGGGAGCAGAACCTAAGGGGATGGGTCTCACGTGATCCTGAAAAGTGGACAATCACAGACATTGATGCTTCTGTGAAATCCCATCACCCTTCCTACTCCCACTTCTGGGAATCATGCTTGTGACACCTCAGTTTTGCTGGCGAGTCCCCGGTCAGGTTCCAGTGGGGCCCAGGGTCTGTGAGTCTGTACTGTGTATTCCCTCCTGGGCCTGAGCCCAGTGCAGGTGAGGCGGTTATGAATGACATGAACCTCACACCACTTGGCATACAGGAGGCATTATTGTTGGAAGGAAGGAAGGGAGGAAGGAAGGAAGGGAGGAAGGGAGGAAGGGAGGAAGGAAGGAAGGAAGGAAGGAAGGAAGGAAGGAAGGAAGGAAGGAAGGGAGGAGGGAGGGAGGGAGGAAAGTGGGAGGGAGGAAGTGAGGGAGAGAGAGAAAGAGAGAAAGAGAAAGAAAGGAAAGAAAGGAAAGAAAGGAAGAAAGGAAGGAAGGAAGGAAGGAAGGAAGGAAGGAAGGAAGGAAGGAAGAAAGAAAGAAAGAAAGAAAGAAAGAAAGAAAGAAAGAAAGAAAGAAAGAAAGAAAGAAAGAAAAGAAAGAAAGAAAGAAAAGGAAAAAAGAGGGGTGGAGGAGAGACAGGGAAAAAGAAAATTATATGCACATTTGTGTGCTCCTAGAAAAATGTCTAGGAGACTTGACTAGGAGCAGTAAACACACAATACAATATACAGATGATGTATGGTCAAATTGTATACCTGAACTTTATGTAATTTTATTAACCAGTTTCACCCCAATCCATTCAATAAATATATAAACAAGAGAAAAATGTCTGGTAGTTTAACTACTGATTCATTTTCTGTCATAACTACAATATGTTTCCTATCTGTTTGGTTTAAAAAACATGTTTTAAAATTGATTTTGAGCCCTGGCCGGTTTGGCTCAGTGGTTGGAGAGTTGGCCTGTGGTACAGAGAGACCCGGGTTCGGTTCCTGCTAAGGGCACGTACCTCGGTTGCAATTTGTCCCCGGCCCTGGTTGGTCGTGCGGGTGTCAGCCACTCGATGTGTCCCTTCACGACGATGTTTCTCTCTCTCTCTCTTCCTCTCTCTCCCTCCCGCTCTCTCTGAACAAAAAATGAAAAAATGTCCTCGGGTGAGGAAAAAAAAATTGATTTTGAGAGGGAGGAAGGGAGAGGGAGAGAGAGATAGAAACATCGATGAGAGAGAACATGGCCACCTCCTGCATGCCCCACACTGGGGATTGGGCGCACAACCTGGACATGTTCCCTGACCGGGAATCAAACCATCAACCTTTTGGTGCATGGGTCGACGCTCAACCATTGAGCCACACCGGCCAGGGGAGTCTGTTTGGTTTCAGTAAATTCTTTCTGGATAAATTATCTATTTTCTCTGTTGTTGAATTTAATGCAAAAAGTTGTTCTTAATATTCTTCAAAGTTGTCACAGATTTGTCTATCATGTTAGTCTTCAAAGAACCAACTTTTAGTATTTTAACCCTCTCTTTTTGTAATATTACATTCTCTTATTTTTATAATTAAAAAAATTTTTTTTACATACTGTGTTCTTTTACCTTCCTGAGTTGAACAGTCTATCATTTTAGTTTTTCTTATTTCTCACGTGAGTATTGAAACCATGCAGGTACTTCTAGGTATTGGTCTAGGCACATCCTACAGATTTGATGTCATGTATTCTTTCAGTTACAAGTATTTTTATTTATTATTATTTTTATTTTTAATCCTCACCCAAGGATATTTTTACATTTATCTTCAGAGTGGGAGGGGGAGAGAGAGAGAGAGATACATCGGTGTGAGAGAGACACACTGACTGACCGCTACCAGCATGATCCCAACCGGGCCGGGGACAAACCACAACCGAGGTATGTGCCATTGGCTGGAAGCAAACCTGGGACTCTTTGGTCCACAGGCTGAATTTCTAACCACTGAGCCAAACTAGCCAGGGTAGTTATAAGTATTTTTAAATTTCCGCTGTCATTTCTTTTTTCACTATGAGTTATTAGAAATAGGTTTTTAAATATCCTAATGTATGGCTTTACTTTTTAAATTATTATCATCATTTTTTTTTACTAATTTCTAACTTAATTCATTGTAATGTGTATGATATCAATTGTTCAAAGTTTGTTGAGACTTGCTTCATGTCCTAAAATATGATCAATTTAGGTAAACGTTTCACATTCACTTGAGAAAATATGTAGAGTTCTATACAGTCGTCCCTCGCCACTTCATGCTTCCAATTTCCCGGCTTAAATCTATCACTGTTTTTCAAACATATTCATTAACCTTTTAACCGGGAATTCCCTTTTTACTGTATGCAACGTTTGAGGTATTTATATGTCCCGCTCGGTTAACAGGTTAAAAAGTTGATTGAGACAGTGAAAATGATACAGCGCGCGCTCCATTGTCTGAGTCAATTAGACACCTTGTATTACAATTACAATTAAAATTACTGTACATATGGACTGTAGGCCTATGTATTTGAGCACCCTAGGAATCCTTCATGCGAGATGCAACCGCTGGACCATCCTTGTGTGTGGGCAATAATTTTTTCCAAAAAATCGGGTGTGGTGAAACCAAGCCAATCAGAGCGTGCTGTTCACTGACTGGCTATCCTAGCCTTTTCCTGTCCTGGCCGCTGATTGGCTCAGCCTCTTGCAAGTTCGTTTCTCTCATACACGATGGCTTCTGCATCGCTAGGCATGGGAAGCATCTCTGCTCTTGTAAGTGTTTGCGATTTCTGAGAACGTTTATCTAAGCCCCACGATGGCTTCTAAACGTGCTGCTTCTTCTAAGCCTTCTGACGATGAAACTAAGGGCCGGAGGAAGATGCTTACCATCCAGGAGAAGGTGAAACTCTTGGATATGATCAAAGATGACAAGAAAATACTAGAGGTTGCCCACCATTACGACTTGAATGAGTCTACCGTTCGCTCCATCCATAAAGATGGAAAGAACATCCGTGCAACAGCGACTGTCTTCTCAACAAGGAAGCAAGGTGCATCGTGACAAATCGTAGTAAGTTCATAGTGAAAACGGAGTCTGCCCTAGCCGTTTGGATCAGTGACAGCCGCAAGGAAAACATTCTGTTGGATTTGCTGGTCATCTGGGCGAAGGCGAGGCCGGTCTATCAGCGCTTTACGGCGGACGAACCTCAACCAGGACCCTCTTCTGCATCATTCATGGATTTCACGGTGAGTAAGGGTTGGTTCGAGAAGTTCCAGAAGAGGCCTCATCTGAAGAGTGTCGTTCTCCACGGAGAAGCTGCCTCTGCTGACCAGCCTGCAGTAGAGGACTCCGTGAACAACACGTTCCAGAAGATCCTTGAGGAGGGTGAGTATCATCCAGAACAGGTGTTCAATATGGACAAAACAGGACTGTTCTGGAAAAGAATGCCTTCCCGGACATTCATTTTCAAGGATGAGGCCAAGGTCTGTGGCTTCAAGGCGTATAAGGATCGCGTGACTATCGTTCTGTGCGGAAATGCTGAGGGGCTTTGCTCAAGCCTGCCCTTATTTACCAGGCCAAGAACCCGAGGGTCCTGAAGAATAAGAACAAGAACCTGTTGCCAGTGCATTGGAAGCACAACGACAAGGGCTGGATCACGAAGCAGCTGTCATCGGACTGGGTCCACGAGCGTGTCCTCCCCCAAGTCAAGCTGTATCTCGCGGAGAAGGAACTGGAGTTTAATGTCCTTCTTTCTCCTCATGGGCAATGCTGAAGGTCATGTGCAAGACTATCCTACGATGGTCGAGTTACTTCCTTCCAACACCACTTCGCTGATCCAGCCCATGGATCAAGGCGCTATTCGCGTGTTCAAGTCCCGCTACACGTGAAACACCCTGCAGCACCTGGTCGAAGGCGTGGACCTTGAGGAGAACTTCTTGCTGAAGGAGTACTGACAGCAGTATACCATCGTGACCTGTCTGAAGAACATCCAGGCCACGTTGAATGACATAAAGACGAAGACCGGCCCTGGCCTGTTTGGTTCAGTGGTTAGAGCATCGGCCCGTGGACCAGAGAGACCCGGGTTCGGTTCCTGCTAAGGGCACGCACCTCAGTTGCAGTCCCCGGCCCCAGTTGGGGTCGTGTCGGTGGCAACCACTCAATGCGTCTCTCTCACAACGATGTTTCTCTCTCTCCCTCTTCCTTCCTCTCTCTCTCTAAAATCAATAAAGGGAAAAAAAAAAAAAGGCAAAGACTGTGAAGGCCAGCTGGAAGATGTTGTGGCCTGAAATTGTCCACGACTACAGAGGATTCACTGCAGAGGATATAAGCAACTCAGCAGTGGATAAGGCAGTTAGGCTAGCCCGGACGCTGGGAGGAGAAGGTTTTGTGGATATGACCCGTGATGACGTGGAGGAGCTGCTGGAGACATATTCGGATCCCTTAACTGATGAGGATCTGGTGGAGATGATGTCTGCAAGTGAGGAGTCGAAAAAGAGAAACTTTAATGAGAAGTGTGCTTGGAGCCCACTTCTGACTCCTCTCTGGGCAACAGCAGCTCTCGACTGCCTCCAGGTTAGTAGCCGCTAGAGCCCAGCACCAACTGGAACAACTGGGCACCTGTCTGTCTGTCTGTCTGTCTGTGGTGAGTCCTGGAGACTGGTGCATTCGGGATGGTAGCTGAAAGGACCAGCGGTGGTGCGGGCAGGCTTGTCAGTGGAGCCAAGGTTCTGTTTTTTTACTATTATCATTATCATCATCATCATTATTGTTGTTGTTGTTACAGATGTTGCTCCTTTTTCCCCCATTGACACTCTCCTCCCCCTCCGTCCCTGTCCTGTCCCCAGCTTTGTTGTCCATGTCCATTGTTTATGCGTACATACATATAAGTTCTGTGGTTTATCCCCACCTCTTCTAGTGATTGTCTGTTTGTACCCTACTTCCACGTCTCCGGGACAACCCCATTCCTCAGACTGTTATGTTCATTATATTCCACAAATAAGTGAGATCATATGATACTTGTCTTTCTCTGCTTGGCTTGTTTCCCTTAGGATGATACTTTCCAGGTCCCTCCATGTCATCTTAATGGATAAGAGCTCTTTCTTTCTTACAGCTGCATAGTACTCCATTGTGTATATGTACCACTGCTTTTTTATCCACTCATCTACTGATGGACATTTGGGCTGTTTCCAGATCTTAGGTATTGTAAATAGTGCTGCTATGAACATGGGGGTACATATATATTCTTTCTGATTGGTGTTTTAGGCTTTTTAGGTTATATTCCTAGAAGTGGGATCACTGGGTCAAATGGCAATTCAATTTTTAATGTTTTGAGGTAACACCATATTGTTTTCCATAGTGGCTGCTCCAGTCTGCATTCCCACCAGCAGTGTACTAGAGTCCCCTTTTCTCCACACCCTCACCAACACTTGTTGTTTGATGATTGGTTGATGGCGGCCATTCTGACAGGTGTAAGGTGATACCTGATTTTTGTTTTAATTTGCATCTCTTGATGATTAGTGTTGTTGAGCATTTCATCATATGTCTCTTAGCCATATGTATGTCCTGTTTGGAGAGGTGTCTATTTAGTTCCTCTGCCCATTTTTTCACTGGGTTCGTTGTCTTCCTTTTGTGGAGCCAAGATTCTGGAAAGGCCCAGGGCACCAGGGCCAGGTCCTTCCCATTTTCAGACCAACTTGCTCTGTAGTTGGGTCAAGGATAAGTCTTGTACCTGTAAATCACGTCCTTCTTATGTCCTGCCCTACTGGGACAGTTCAGTAGTATTTCTTAGAAACCTGGTTTCTCTTTAAGAAGATATAATTGATGACGAGCCAGGGAGCATCTGGAGTGAGAATTGAGCTGCCTGGATTCGCCTCACTGGACAAACATCGACTCAGGCTCACTGGGCCTGACCTGGTGGCTGCAGGCTGGGGCCCCAGAGGTGAATGTGACACGGTCTCCTGCCTCCACAAATTCCCACTTAGTGTGGGGTTTCTCAAAGCGGGCTTCCCTCAAGCTAGAGAGAGGCTTCCATTCTCCCAGTTATGGTATTTGCACAATACACAGGGTTAAGTTCACTGGTGAATTGAAATTTTTCTCAATTTTAACCCTCCCCAGCTCCCCGTTCCCCATTATCCTTAAAACATTAGTACAAGCTGGAATTCTCGAGAATCCGGTACAAGTATTGTCTGATTAGCTAGCAGTCCCATGTCGTTAGTTGTTGGAAATGCATGCCTGACGCTTCCTAGCTTCAGGGGCCTGTGTCCCCAGGACAAGTCGGATCTGGAGGCTGCAGATTTGCCCAGCGGAGATATAGTATGATGCTTGATGCAGGAACAAAGCGCTGGGTCTTAATTTTGCCCCTGCCACCAACTTGGTGTGTGACCTTGGCAACTTGCTTCTCCTCTCTGGGCCTTTTATCTGTCTCATTTTCCAGATAATAATAACTACTGTTATGGCCACAAGTTATTGAGCACATATTATTGCTAGGTACTTTCCATGTATCATCTCATTGGATCCTCACGTCTACCCTGTGGTAAGTCCTATTTTGATGCCCATTTTACAGATGAGGAAACTGAAGCTCAGAGAGAGCAAATGGCTTGTCTGAGGTCAGAGTGGCAGTGAGTGATAAGGAAGCCCTTTGCTACCAGGCAGGACCAGGGTAGGGCTGAGGGTGGACCTTGGGCGACTGTGAGAAGTTTTTCTGGCCTTGGTCTGTTTGGCTCAGCGGTTAGAGTGTCGGCCTGCAGACCAGAGAGTTCTGGGTTCGGTTCCCTCTAAGGGCACGTACCTCAGTTGCAGTTTGTCCCTGGCACTGGTTGGGTTTGTGTGGGTGGCAGGCAGTTGATGTGTCTGTCTCGCATCGATATTTATCTCTCTCTTTTCCCCCTTTTCTCCCTCCCGCTCTATCTGAAGATAAATGCAAAAATGTCCTCGGGTGAGGATTTAAAAAAAAAAAATTTTTTTTTTTCCTGGCAGACATGGAGTATTGACGAGAGGACTGTCAGCCCCTTCCTGCAACTGTCAGATGACCGAAAGACTCTGACCTTCAGTGCCAAGAAGTCCAAGGCCTGTGCAGACGACCCAGAGCGCTTTGACCACTGGCCCAATGCTCTGGCTGCCACCTCCTTCCAGGCTGGGCTGCACGCCTTGATGGTGAATGTGCAGAACAGTTGTGCCTACAAGGTGGGCGTGGCCTTGGGCCAGCTGCCCCGCAAGGGTTCTGGCAGTGACTCTCGTCTGGGCCACAGCGCCTACTCCTGGGTCTTCTCCCGCTACGACCCAGAGTGCTGTTTCTCACACGATGGGCAGCACGAGCCCCTGGGTCTGCTGCGCTGCCCGGCCCAGCTGGGCATACTGTTGGACTTGCAGGCCCAGGAGCTGCTATTCTATGATCCGGCCTCGGGCGTGGTGCTCCACACCCACCATGCATCCTGACCTTTGGCCCTGGGGAGGCTAGATCTGCCTGCCCACCACCCTTTTAGGCCACACTTCTACCCAATATTCTTTTCCTAGATGTTGCTCATGCCCACTCGGCAACATTGGGAGGGGTTGGGATCCATTTCAGATCGGGGTAAAATCATTTAATGTAGGGTGTCTGTGGGGAAACTTCCACTCCCTGGGCCTTAGTTTCCCAAATTCAACATGAGGGTGTCTTGTTCACTTTATCTCAGACATCCGGCATGGTGCCTGGTGAGCATGCAATACATATTTGGCGAGTGAGTGGGTGGGTGGATGGATAGGCGGGGGCGGGTGCACGTGCTAGACCCCTGGAGAAGCACTGCCTTTCAGCCCCACCCCCCAGCTCTGAGCATGGAGAAGTGCTTCTGTGGCAGCAAAGCCTGTGGCTGAAGTCTTTCATCTCATTCAGTGCTTCTCAGCCCTTTGCATGACACGACACAGCGAAAATATTTTTCTAGCACACAAGGACAACCTGGAAGGGGTTTAGAACTCCTGCCAGGCTGCTCCTGGTCAGAGGGCTCTGGCCTGGGGGGCTCTGTCCTCCTCCCCAGATCCTACCTGGCCACCCAGAAGACAGAAAATCCTATCTCCAGGTACCCTGACTGCAACACACCCATCAGCAGCTGTGCCTTGTACCTGGCGGCTCACCTCCAGCCTGTGCCCACCGGGGTGACAGGGATGAACTTTTCCCCCAGCTGCAGCTGATGAGTACCCCACATGGTGGCCCCTTTGACATAATGTGGAGACCTGGGGTGAGAGCCTGGAGCCAGAAGGAGCTGAAGGGGTAAGAGCCAGCCTTAGAGAACATGTACATTATTAAAGGTTTTAAAAGACTGAAAAATTCCTCCCATGTTCTTTGTTGGTAATTGGGTAGACCCTCTCAAGGGCCAGCTCAAATCTTAGAAAAGTGTTTACTGGGAATTTGATGTCCTCACCCTCATCCGTATTCCCTGGTCTGTTTGGCTCAGGGGTAGAACTTTGATCTGTGGACCAATGAGTCATGAGTTCCTCTTTGGTCAAGGGCATGTACCTTGGTTGCAGTTCATCCCTGGACCTGGTTGGAGTTGTATGGGAGGCAACCAGTCAATGTGTCCCTCCCATGTCGATGTTTCTCTCTTTCTCTCCCTCCCTGTACCTCCCACTCTGTCTGGAGATAAATAGAAAAATATTGTCAGGCGAGGATTGAAAAAAAACAAAACATTTTTCTACATGGCACCCAAAGGCTTTTAATGCCACACTCCCCAAGCCTTTACTCAACTCCATAGTATACATGTCCACAGTTCATGGGCCTGCTGGTAGGAATACCCTGTCTTCTTGCCTATCTAAATGCCAGTCCCAGTTCAGGGTCCACGCCAGAGCCCTCCCTGGCTGTTGGCACCAGAACATAACGTGCATTTTCCTCTCTACGTGCTTTTGATCCGTGGTGTGCCCTGTGCTTGGCACTTGCTTGAGCCCAGAGGTAAATACCAAGTGGATATGTGAAGAAGGGAGAGGCAGGAAGAGACTTGCAATTAAAAAACCCAACCTACTTCTTCAATCTCCAGTGATTCTCCCCACACTTAAACCTCTGCCGCCTCGGACTTGTCCCTGTTCCCTGCACTTTCCTACCCCACACTAACCCCCATGACAGGTGTCTTTCAAGACTGACATCCTTTAGGACACCTTCCTATCTTCCAGGAGCTCCAATGCACTATGTCTCATGTGACATGGATCCCTCTCTACTTGCAACCTAGTGGTGAAGCCAATGGACTTTGGAGTCAGGCATGCCTAAATTGGAATTCTGGCTCCTTCATGTTCTAGCTGTGACCTCAGGCAGGCTATTTTACCTCTGAATCCCTTGTAAAGTGGAAGTCACACTACCTATGGCCAAAGATGGCTGTGAGGGTTCTACATGCATATAAAGGACTAGATACCGGAGTATCTAACAGAGGGGAGGGAAAATCAAGTTTCTTCTCATGACTGCAATGATAGTATTCCTTGTCTAAAATCTCCTGTTTAGATTATGTGGTCATAGGAGACATAAACTTAAGCACAACGTAGCACACCGATTTTCTGTTTAATAGATTTTTATTGATTTTTTAGAGAGAGAGAGAGGAAGTAAGAGAGAGATAAAAACATCCATGTGAAGGGGAAACATCCAACAGCTGCCTCCTGCATGCCACGTACTGGGAATCGAGACTACAACCCTGGCATGTGCCCTGACCGGGAATCAAACTGGGATCTCTCAGACCATGGGACGAAATTCAATCCACTGAGCCATACGGGTGGGGCAGCACCCTGATTTTCCAACTCAACTCTGACCTCAAGGTTTGTGGGGTGAAGGGAATTATAGAGGTTTCAGGGCCTGAATGAGGGGCCCCAGAACCTCTGCTTCAACCCTAGCAGTCTCTCCTTTTCTCCTATTTTGCATATTGGGGTTCCACATAAGATCAAAAGCCCTGCTGGTAAAGCAAAGTTTCAAAGTACCTGGTTTGGAAGCTAGTTGGGCCCTTAGTGAACCTTGTTGGAGGTGAGGGGATTGTGCGAAAGGGACCCAGGCGTGATGAATGAACCGTCTCAGACCAGGACTGGTTAGTGGGGCAGGGCTGAAAGCCTCACACTCTGCTCTATAGTCAGAAGGCATCACGGAGGCTGCAGGGAGGGGTAAAGGCCAGATCTTGGGAAGGAAAGGGCTCCCTGTCTGCAGTGTTTGTTGGGCCCAGCCACTTCCCTCACCAGACTCACAGCCCTGTGAGCGAGGCCTCCAGGCGGTCAAGGGCAGGTAGGAGATGGGGCAGTGAGGGGAGAATATGTTCTTGGGGTACAGAATCTTTGACCACAGGGTCCAAAGGCCCTGGACCAACCACTAGAAAGCTGTGCATGCCTACAGCCCGTGCCCCCTTATAATCATGGTGGTAACTGTCCCCGATATGGGCTACCACTGCCGGTTCTACATGAGCTAGCTGCAAGGCCTTGTGGAAAATGCGAGGGTCTGGCTTGCACCAGCCACTAGCCTCAGAGGTCAGCACAAAGTCGAAATGTTCCCGCAGACCAAGACCCACCAGGACTTCCTCTAGCCGGTGGTCAAAGTTAGAGATCACTGCCTGCCTCAGACCTCGTTTTCGGCACTCCTGCAGGGTGTCCTGAGCTCCCTCCAACAACTGCCAGGTGCCGGGGCTGATGAAGCTTTCGTACAGCTGGTCAGCGATGGGGGCCACAGCCTGGGCATCCCGAACACCCGCCAGGTGGAAGGTCTGCAGGACCACATCCTGCCACCACTGGCGGGTGGTGAGGCCATGGCTCAGGCCATAGTTGGGGAAGTTGCGGTTTTGAGCCGGGAACACCTGCCAGAAGGCTTGCTCCAGGACTGGGGCCTCCACCTCCAGCCCATAAGTCTGGGCTGTGGAGGCATATTCCTCTCCCATGGAGTGGTGAAGCTTGAGCAGTGTGTCATTCACGTCCCATGTCAGCAGCCGTATCTGAAGCCGGTGAGCCATGGATCCGCAGCAGGAGGCCGAGTCTACTCCAGGTCTACCTTAGGTTCCAAGGGCCAAGAAGAAACGAGTTGGACGAGACACACCTCCACAACCTAATGGTTGTCTCTTTCCAGGCCTCCTCGGTCAGAATTTCTGGCACTTGGTTAATGTTTCACAGCAGAAGATCCTGGAACGAAAGAGCAAGTACAGTGAAAGTTCAGGCTTTAGAGTCATACAGACTGGGTTCAAATTCTGATGCTGCCAACTCAGTGTGTGACCCGGAAAGTGTCTCTCTCTGAAGTCCTGTCTCCTCATGTTTAAGAATGCAAGGACCCAACCTCACAAGATTGTTGGATTAAATGAGATTATTTCTTCCCTGCACAACAAATTTCTGAACACCAGTTATGAGCTAGGTGCTGGGAACAGGACAAGGTTCTAGTCTTCATGGCATTGACAGGCATTAAATAATAGGGTATACAGCCTGACCAGTGTGGCTCAGTGGTTGAGCATTGACCCACGCACCTAGAGGTTGCCAGTTCGAATCCCAGTCAGGGCACATGCCCAGTTTGTGGACCAAATCCCCAGTGGGGGGCATGCAGGAGGCGGCCCATCAATATTCTCCCTCATTGATGTTTCTATCTCCCTCTCCCTCTCCTTTCCTGTCTCTCTCTAAAATCAAAAAAGAAAGAAAAATTTAAAAATAAATAAATAACACAGTATACTGAATATACAGATATTAGAATAATAGGGTATGCATATATTAGACAAAGAACTACACAAACACTTAAGCTTAATGATTACAGCATAAATCATGAGGTTACAAATCCAAGGACCCAATCTAGTATTTGTCAGGGAACCTCCTAGGCAAGGGAAGTTTCAGTGGAGGATCTAAAGAACAACTCTGCAGGAAAGAGAGGTGGTTAAGTGTTCCTGGCACTGGAAACAGCAAATGCAAAGGTCCTGAGGGAGGGCAAGGATTCTGGTATTTGGGGTAGATAGGGGCCAGTTCAGGCAGGGCTTTGTAGGTCAAGGTAAGGAAACAATTACTATTCCTATTGTTAGCCATGCCAAAGGCACAAGGGTCCTTGCAGATCATCTGCCACAACTTGTGGCCGCTCAGCAGGGAAGAGTGAGCCAGAGAGGAACAGACACTTACCTAAGATCACAGTGAGTCAGCAGCATAGCCAGGACTAGAACCCAAACTTCTAGACTCTATAGCCATTGCTCCTTTTCACTGCTTAGACAATCTTGAATTAAAACACACACACACACACAGGCACACACCCACCCTTGCCTTGGCAGGTTTGGCTCAGAGGTTAGAGCCTCAGTCCGCAGATCAGAAAGACCCGGGTTCAGTTCCTGCTAAGGGCACGTACCTCTGTTGCAGTTTGATCCTGGCCCCGTTGGGTTCGTGTGGGTGGCAACCACTCGATGTGTCTCTCTCACATGGATGTTTCTTTCTCTCTTCCTCCCTCTCTCCCTCCCGCTCTATCTGAAGATAAATGCAAAAATGTCCTCGGG